CAAGCCTTTGTGCACTGCAATCACGTCTCCAGAGCTGGTATCGAGCCTCGTGCAAAGCATCGGCGCCCAAACCAAGCGCTTGCAGACCACGCAAAGCGCAACCGCGATTCGCCAACAGGTGTGATGTGGGAGAGTATGCTTGTAGAGTGAAACGGTTGAGCGTGCAAGCGGAAATAATGCGCTCACCTGCTTCCGATAAAAGATTGCACGACTACGGAGTCTGGCGGGGACAAAGCGGAGTGAAGACGATGCGGCTCGTGAGGACCTTGCCCCTGGCCCCGCGGGCAAGAGCACGCTGCAAGATGCTGCTGAGGACATCAAGCCGCCACTAAGGAGCCCTGAATTATCCACAACGTCAGAAGTCTCTGCGTCTATCGCTCCTGCAAAGAGCGCGTCAGAAACACCGGTGGCCCCTCCCAGTAAACCTGGGTTTGCGCAGCCGCGAGTTGTGGCCAAGATTTCTCCTTTGAAGCGCCGCTTGGGCCAAGCGGAGAGGCCGTGCCACTGCCATTAAGAAGCGATGATTCTTGTTATGTCCAGGTGCGACAAGAAAACCCCTAAAAAAAACTGGCTTCGTCACTAAAGGGTTGCGGAGCACCAGGGATGTCGTTCAGATTGTCAAAGTGATCTCGGGGGATTGCCGAAATTCCCTGCGCACTCCCTGGCCAACGTGCTCGTGAGTATGCACAATCTACACCTGCAACACAGCAAAAATAATTAATTTGGACTTGGTACTCGAGAATGATATCTCATGGGGTGAGCTGAGCTGGGCTTGGCTGCTCGCCAATGGACCACGCCCCAACGCCGGGCTCGAGCGATGCCGACGCCCGAATCCAGCAACTCCCGGTGAGTTTTCATTTATGGAAGACATTGAATGTGAAATATGTGCATGAATTTGCGTATCATCTCTCTGATCTCGTGGCACATGTTTCAGAAAAAGAATCCGCTTTCCTGAGCAGGAGAGCCAGGTGGGCCCCGCCATCGCCGACCTGTTAAGCGGGCTTGCCCGCTTCAAGCCTACTCGCAAGTCGAGAAGGGGCTCTTTTGGAGCCGAAAATAGCATCGACGATGGCGAGAGCCAGCGGCTGGCCCTGGCCAAGGGTCTCATTCTCCTGCTGGAGCGCGCGCACGAGCTGGCGACACCTGCGCAGGTGTGTGGGGGCCTCAGCGCGCGCCCTGTCTGGGCATCGGCGCACGGACAGAATCTTTGACTGATCTTGGCTGATCCCGTTCCGTGGTGCAGGCCTGCAAGGACGCGCTCGCTCGGGCCGCGCACGACATGGTCTGGGTCTGGCCGCTGCTGACGCACAAGCGGACGGAGCTCCTGCTCGCGAGCCCCGGCGCCGCGGCCCTCGTGGCGGCGGTCCTGCCGACGGCGACCGGGCCGACGCAGTCTCGGGTGCTGCACGCGCTCGCCGACTGGGCAGAGGAGCAGGCCGGTGCGGTCAACGAGGCGGCAGGCTGCCCGTGGCGACAGGGCCTTGAGCCGTTTGCAGCGATAGCAGCCCAGACGCTGCAGGAGGCCATCAACCTAGAGGGCCCGGCCGCGGCGACGGCGCTGGCCTGCGCCGCCGGTGCCTTGCGCCTGAGCCTCGCGGCGCTCAGGGCGTGTGAAGGTGGGGGTCCTGCGTTTGAAGACAGAAGCGGCGCAAGGAGCTCTTCTGATCCCCCCGAGCCGGCCACGTCTGCAGAGAATCAAACCCAATCAGGCACGCTCTCATCAGCGATTGCCGCCACGGTCGAGCGCTTTGGACAAGCGTCGCACGTCGCGAGGAGCGTCCGGCTGTGGGGCCAGCCAGGCGCGGCGCAGCGTGCGCAGCAGGCCCAGAGCGTCTTGCTGGCGCTGGCGGGGCACGCGGCCTCGGCAGGGCCCCGCAGCGCCCTCGCGGCCCAGCTGCCGACATTTATCGCCTTTCACTGGGAGCTGGCACAGTTCCGCGTCGGGCTCGGCCAGGGCGAGGGCGTTGGACCTTGCGCCTGGAGCTTGTGCACGTGCCAGGCGATACTCGGCCTCATCGCGGGCGGGCAGGCCCCGCTGCGCTTCGTGCTGGCCCCGCCGCTGCTGGCGCACACGCTGCGCCTTGTGGCCGAGGCGCTGGGCGCCAGGCGCGCGTGCGGGCACGTTTCCAGAGCGGTCCGCGCTGCTGGGCCGGCTCTGGGCCCTGCACGGCGCCTGCGCCCAGGGCGCCCTGGCGCCGCACCTGGCGCTCGACCCCTCGGTCCGCCACGGCGGCACAGCGCTGGTCCGCGCCTATGAGCTACATGACCTGCTGGCCGCGGACGTCCGACCGGCGCGGGCGCGCGCGCCGGGCGGCGCCCGACCCCCTGGCCGGCTGGCGGAGAAGCGGCAGCGAGCGGCGAGGGCGGTCGTCGAAGAAAAGCCCGTCGACCTCGTCGGGCTGCTGCTCGACAGCGTGGCAGGAGATCGGCAGGACGGTATAACTGGCGGTGATTCTGGTAGCGCCGGCGATGCGGACGCAAAGACGGCACGGAATACATCCTCGGATGACGCGGCCGTGGCCGCCGGCGTCCTGTCCCCGGACGAGGCGCCCAGGCCGGCCGAGACATTGGCGCCAATGCAAAAGGTCGCCCGCCGGCGAATCCTGGCAGAGCGCGTGGACGGTGTGCGACTTGGTGACGGCTCCGAGAACCAGCGTTTGGAAGCGCCCGGTGTGCCCTCCAACGATTCAGCAAGCGCGGCCTCGGCGCTCGACGACGCCGACAACCCCGCCGAGGACGCCTCCGACCCACACCCGCCGGAGCGCGTCGTGATGCGCGCGACACCGGGCATGACCGAGACGGAGCGGGAGGCGCTCTGGGCGGCATACATTGCGGACAAGGAGGCCATGCTGGGTCTGCTGGGCGACGGTCGCTACCGGGACTGGTTTGACGAGCCGGCGGCTGCGCCCCTTGCCGCGCTCTCCGGCGCCGCTGGCGTGGAGGGTGCCCTGGACGCGGCCTTTGGCGGCGCCTCGGGCGGGTACAGCGTCGCAAGGACGCCGCTGGAGGCCTCCGTGTCGGCTCCTTGGCAAGCTGCTGCGGCGGCGTGCCTGGACGGGCTTTCGAATTTGCTCGAGGCGGCGACGGAGCCAGGCGGCGACGTCGGCAAGGTATCAGCCGACGCCGTGTCCGCTCTAACGTCGGCCTTGTCGCCGGGGTCGGCGGACATCGGCCCCTTGGTGCAGAGGGCGCTGGCGCTGCAGGGCTCGCACGGGCGGCAGGCCTGGTCGCGGGCGCTGCAGCTGACGCGGGCGTTTCCAGCTGGGGCCGCCTGCCTGGCTCTCGCCGTCGCCACCCACGACATCGCGGCGCGCTCCGCCCGCCGAGCGGCGGTGCCCTGGGTGTCGGCGCTGACGCGCACGCTGCGGTGCCTGCTCCTGCTGGCGCGCCGCGAGGAGGAGGCGGCGCGAGCAACTGACGCGATGCGCGACGATGCTGCGACTGAAATCGCGAGTGGGGACGCCCCGAGCGGCCACGCACCTGGCAGTGCCACTGGTCGTCCCACGAACTTGCCACCCAGTCGCCAAGCAGCAGTCCCTGCGTGAGCTGGTGTTGAGTGTGCTGGTCCGGACGGTGCAGGACGCCGGGGACAGGCTGTCGGGCCGGTGGTTTGACAGACAGGCCGCGGTCGGGCTCTTGGAGGTGCACGAGCTCTTGTTGGACCCGGCGCCCGGGCTGGGTGCGCGGGAGCCTTGCGGTTTCAACGGCGGGCCCCTATCCGACTCGGTGCGACTCGCGCTGCGGTGCTACGGCAGCGCCGAGGGACCGGGCGCCGATGACCTGGACCGCGCGCTGGACAGCTGGCGCATGCTGGTGCCCCTGGCCGAGTGTGAGGGGCCCGCCAGGGATGCTGTGCTCGAGCGCGTGCTGGGCCACGCTGCGGCGGAGCTGGAAGCCACAAGCCTTGCCGGCGAGGCCCTCACGCCAGCCTCAGTCTGGGTCCTGCAGACCCAGTGGACCCTGGCCGCCGCCGTGCACGGCGCCGAGGTGCGAGAGCACCCCGGCCCCCGCACGGCCCTGGCGCTGGAGATCGTGAGCCACGCGCTGCGCACCGCGGCCGCGGCGGTCGGCGCGTTTGCGGCCAGCCTGGACGCAGAGAGCCGACAGGGCGCCGAGAGCGGGGCCCTCCGCGACCCGCGTCGGGCGCCGGGGCCCGACACGCGGGCCCCTCCCACGCCCTGGACGTGGCTTCCGGGCGGGGCGGCAGCGCTCGCCCTCAGCTTTGAGCTGGCGGCCCGACTGACGGGCGATGGCCTACCCGAGCGAGGGATAAGCGTCAGCCCAGACGCCGCGCCGAGCGCGCTGGCGCTCGTCCGGCGCGCGAACGAGCACCTCGAACGCTTGGCGGCCGCGCAGGGCGCCTGCATTGAGCTGCTGCGCGGGGCTTGCCCGGCAGACCTGTCTGCCCAGGTCGCGGCCGCCATGGAAGCGGCGCCGGCGCTGGACCTGCCTGCTGCCGGCTCGGGAGCGGACGAGGCGGCGGAGGCCGACCCGGCCTCGCCAGCGGGCGCTGACCCGGCCAGCCCCTGCCAGAAGAGGCCAACACGGCTGCGCAACCCGTACCTCCTGGCGGTGGTGGCGGAAGAGGGCGCCCCGCGGGGCATGGCGGCGCGGGACCTCGCCGACCTCGACGACTTCATCGTTGCCAACCCGGAGCGCGACTACGGCGCCTTTATCCGGGCGCACTTTCCGAGACCGACGGACTCGGACAGCGACGACAGTGGCGCTGAAGATGCATGAACTTCAGGCGTGCACCCCTTATTTCATTGCTTGGGCGAATTGAAATATTTGTTTGTCAGAAACACTGCAAATAAAGAAGTGTTTGATCCCCTGGGCATTGCTGGGAGGGGAGAACAAGGATGGGTGACTTCTATTTTGGTGGGGCCCCCTCGAGCCACCATGCGCCGCCACTGCAGTTGTGCGACAAGAACCAAGCGCAAATCATTTGATATTATAATTTTCATAAAGAAAATGGGCAAAAATACAAAATGCAAAAGGTATGTCAGAAGTGGGATTCGAACCCACGCCCTTCCGGATACGGACCTGAACCGCACGCCTTAGACCGCTCGGCCATCCTGACGGTGGTGTTGGCTCCTAACCTGGTGCTACCCAGGGGGATGACTTGATGTCTGACCCTCCAATATCTGAGATTATAAGGGAATGTTCCGGACAGGTCACATGATTTTGTCTCGACGGCGCCGACCGCGGACAGGAAGCTGGCCGACCTATATTAGCACAGCAGTCCGCGGGCCGGAAGCTGACCCCCATTCTCGACAATGCCGACTGGAAAATGGGATTGCAAACGCAGGGAGGCTCCCCTCCGCATGGGGCTGTGGACGCATGCATTTTGCAGCAAGGCCTCACTGAGTACCGCGCAGCACTGGCAACCAGTGCGCGCTGCTTTCCTTTGCTTCTCTTTGCAAATCTGTCCTTCACATATCTATACTTGCCAAACATACCCTATCTTACAAGAGCCAGTGCATAGCGTGCCTGGGGGCACATCACACATCCGGAGCGGTCTGGGCCGACCCGACTCCCACAAGACACGTGGCATCCGCTGCTACAAAAGTGGATGGACAAGCATGGACAGACTATATTCTTTTTTGACAAGAAGAATCACACGAGCTCCAAGGAGGAGTTTAACCAATGATGACGATGCCGCCGCCAGTGCTGGCGGTGAGCAGGCTGAGGATGATGGAGATGTAGGCGTTGATGAGCTGGGCGACGTACTGGTTGCAGCCAAAGGCGGCGGCGACGACCGTGGAGTAGGTCTGGGCGGTGGCCAGGGCAAGCTGCTGCTGGCCGCTGGCGTAGATGGAGTAGATGCCCAGCACGGTGGAGGTGGCGATGGAGGTGGCCTGCTCGGCGTTGCCGTTCTGGGCCACGTACACGGTGGCGACCGCGTAGGCGTAGGCGGTGGCCGTGGCCTGGCCGCCGGTGGTGGAGGCCTGGGCAAAGGCCTGCGCGGAGCTGGCGGTGGCGCCGGCGCCGCCCTGGATGGTGGCGGTGGCGACGGCCGTGGCCGTGGCCTGGACGTTGGTGGGGTTGTTCACGATCACGTTGGTGACCTGGTTGACCACCTGCTGGTTGATCTGGATGTTCTGGACGATCTGCTGCACCTGGGGGGCCTCAGTGGGGATGGACGCGGGCGGGGTGGCCGGGGTGGGCTCGATGGGCGTCGGCTCGGGGGTGACGGGGGATGGGGGGCCGGCAGGGGGGCTCACGTCGGGGACGGGGCTGAAGGCGGGGCTCGTGCCGGGGGAGGGGGGGACTCGACCTCGGGGGGCGGGCACAAACGCGGCGGGGGAGGGGGGGAACCCTCGGCGGCGGGGGGCGACGGAGGGAGAGGGGGAGGCCTCGGCGGAGGGGACGACGGAGGGAGAAGCCTCGGCGGCCGGGACGACGGAGGGAGAAGCCTCGGCGGCGGGAGCGGGGGGAGAAGCCTCGGCGGCGGGGACGACGGAGGGGGACGCCTCGGCGGCGGGGGCAACAGAGGGAGAGGCCTCAGCGACGGGGTCACGGGGACAACCGTGGGGCTGGTGGTGGGGCTGGTGGTGGGGGCTAGCGGTGGGAGAGGCGGTGGGAGAGGCGGTCGGAGAAGGCGGTGGGAGAGGCGGTCGGGGGAGGGAGAGGCCGTGGGGCTCGCAGCGGGCGACTCCGCGGGGGTGGCCGCGGGGGAGGCCTGGGGCGAAGCGGCAGTCCGGGGAAGGGCTGGCGGCAGCTGGGGACGGGGACTCGGACTCGGGCGCCGGCGCGGGGGACGCCTGCAGAAGCGTACGGGTCTGACGACCTGCATGTAATGTGGATTGGAGGGGGTAAATGGGCCTGTAGAGCCTCCCGATCACCGCATCACCGCCGTGTGCGAGCAAGCCCAGGTACCTTGAGCAGAACTGATGGCCAGCAGGGCCACCAGCAGGGCAACAATCATAGACTTCCGCGCCATTTTTGCTTGTAATGGAAAGGCAAAAGAGAATGTGTTTGGGTTGTGTGCTGGAAGGCGATCCAATATATGCTTATGGACTCCGCCAAGGATAGACGCGTGGCTCCCCCAGCCGTTTGTCCGGGGTCTAATGTCCCACCCGCTGCTGAGCATTTTCCAGCTGGCAATGCTCGGGGGAATCCGGGGGTAGCCGCTGCCCAGGTGCTTCCCCCGTACGCCAGCTACCCCCTATTTTCTCGTTGGAGCATTGTAATGCATGGAGGTAAGAATTCCATGCCACATGGTGCTGCGACATGGTCCGCCGACGCGTTTTCGACTTTGGCATGGCCCCCTGTGCGGATATTCGATTTGAATTGCGCGGGCTGCGTACGAGGGGCCTCACTCATTGGGGCCACCCCTTCTCTTATGCCAAGAGTATCCGTGCCAAGACTGTGACTTTAGAGACATTTACACCTCAACGGAAAACATGCTTTTTCAGAATGAATCAAAAGTGGGGGAAGAATCGTGAATCACCACAATCAGACGCTGAACTAGGAAGAGCGCGGCTGCAACTGAGGGGGGCCGTGAGCGGCATCGGAACCGGAGGTCTACGAGATGACAAAGACGGTCGTCTTGGAGGTGATGGAGATGATGATGCTCATCAGGTTGAGCACAAACTGCTTCACGACGACGGTGCACTCGCCCGAGCTGAACAGGAAGATGACGATGGTGTTGCAGGCCGAGGCGGCCACGGTGACGGAGACGTTGACCGAGACAAAGACGATGCCGATGACGGTGGAGGAGCAGATCTTGAGGGCCTGCTCGACCTTGCCGGCCACGATGGCGTTCACGATGGCGGCGCCAAAGCCGTGGCAGAAGGTGGTCAGGTCCTTGCCGCCCTTGATGGCGGCCGCAAAGCCGGTGCCCAGGCTCAACGCGTCGGCCTCAGCGTGCTTGGCAACCATGTCGGCAATGGCGTCCTTGCTGTCGGCGCCCAGGATGTCGTTGACCACGGGCTCGTTGACGGAGGTCTGGCCGTCGGCGAGGCCGGAGACCTGGGAGGTGGCGTTGGCGGTGGCGACGGCCTCCACCAGGGCCTGGGTCTCGGCGGGGGCGGGGCTGGAGGCGTTCTCGGCGGTGGGGCTCACGTCAGAGGCGGATGGGGGAGGGGCTCACGTCGGAGGCGGCGGGGGGAGGGGCTGGACTCGGAAGAGGCGGGGGGAGGGGGCTGGACTCGGAGGCAGCCGGGGAAGGGCTGGACTCAGAAGCAGCGGGGCTGGGGGCTAGCCTCGGAGGCGGCGGGGCTGGGGCTGGCGCTGGAGCCGGTGGAGAAGGTCACAGGGCTGCTGGGACCGCCGGCCTCGGAGGTCTGGCCGTTGGAGGTGGCGGTGACGTAGAAGGTGTAGGTGGTGCCGTCCACAAGGCCGTCGGAGGCGCCCATGGAGATGGGGGAAGAGCTGCCCGTCTTGGTGGGGTTGGAGCTCGCGCCCTGGCGGCCACCGGCGGGGACGGCCTCGGCGGTGAAGGAGTCGCCGCTGCCGGAGAAGGTGACATCAATGCTGGATCCGCTCTGGGAGGCGGACACGCTGGTGGGGGCGCTGGCGCTGGCGGGAGGGGGAGGGGGGTCGCGTCGGGGCTGGCCGCCGGGGGGGTGGCCGCGGGCGTGTCGGGCGTGTCGGGGGTGGCCGGGGCGTGTCGGGCGTGTCGGCCGCGGACGGGGAGGCGTCGTTGTTGCCGAACGGGAAGTTGAATTGGAGCAGGCTGCGCAGGGCGCCGGCGTCAACCTTGCCTGAATTGTGGAAAAATTAAGAACCAATGTGTGTGAGGTGTAGGGTTCAGATATCAACTCAACTCGCACAGCCATGGCAGTCGAGATGCGCATCCGATCTGTACTCCGATGAGCCAAACCCCAACGCGACGCCCAGGTGGCCAGACCCCAAACCCGTAACCACCATAATTTGATGCCCGAAACGCACCTAGGCCATACTTGTCCAGATCAACAATGTCCCTCGCGGCATGGGAGGGGGCGGTCGCGGCCAGGAGCAGGCACGCCACCGCGCACAGGGCAAAGGCCGGGGAACGGCTCATTATGCTGGGTGCAAGGGGTGTAGAGGCCCTTGGCAAGCGGGTTCAATATTGTAATGAATAGCTGAAGGTATGTTACCGAAGAATGGATTTCTATAGAGCTTGGCATGCAGAAGCTTCTTTATAGGGGCTGCGAGCCTTGCGCACGTCACGTGCAGAGAGCAGGCCTGCCACGCGTAAAATCGGAGAATTGCCACTGGGCCCTGACGACTGCTCCTGCGCAATTTCAAAAAGTAGTTCGGCGGCTGTTTCCCCAGCGCGCTCCAGGAACAGGCCGGCTGGCAGGGCTGCACCGCTGCAGGGGCGTTGCGAGGTGATAGTGTCGCATAGTCGGGTCGCGCTGCCGTCGCCACCCCGTGATGGGCTGGCGCAGCGCGAGGTGCTCCGTTCCCAACCGTCGGGCGTGACGCACTCAGCTGTCATGCATCTGAGAGTTGGGGCACGTCTCGCGCGGCTCATGGCAGGAGCCTGACTCTGCAGAAGCTATCCGGGCTCGAAGGAGATGGGCCTGGACCTGTCGTGCTGCCGGTCGGACGGACCGCGTTCAGTGCTGCGCCTGCCCTCAGTGCTCGTGCCAGAATACAACAGTGGGTGCATGATCTTCAGAGGGGGTCTACAGAGGCGGTGTCTCACTCGTATGTGTCAAATTTCATTGGATCCGCGAGATGCGCGACACTTGCGCTCTCGACTCCAAGATGGATGTGGCGTCGGGCGAGATGACCGCACGGGAGCGCTATCAACCAGCGCATTCATCCTGTCGCCGATTGCGCCCGGCGCAGGTTTGTGAATGCTCAAGGTCACGGTACATTACAAAGAAATGGGTAGGCGTGCCCCATCTCGGCCTCCGAGATCGGTCGCGGTTTTGGTGAAAAGTGTGGATCGCTGGGGAGGGCGCTAGGCCGCATGCCCTGGTGGGTCATTGGGTTTGATTGGGGTCTTCAACGAAAAGGCTTTACATGAGTTTGTACAAGTCACGGCAAAGAGCAAGTATAGGTCCGCGAACCAATGGCAAGGGGTGAAATCTGGTAATGCACGAAGAGGCATGCTACTGTCAACATATTTGGGATCACGGGGTG